CTTCTTCATTAGGAGATATTTGTATTAGAAACGTGATCAACCCGCCCAGTCGCACAAGGCGAATTTTCCTGTTATATTCTCACGTGAGCTCGCTGACACAGTTTCCAGACAAATGACTAAAAGGCTGAGCGGAAAAGTTCCAGAAAATGGACTCTGACAAGCAGCTCTGGTCTGGTCTGTGGACATTCAGCTCTTGGATCTCACTCTCCGGCCCGGACCATCGCACACAGTGGAGTACGTCACCTCTCATGCTGTGTGGGATGAAAGTGCGATGCCCATGTTCCTTAGAGGTTGACAGGTTATTACCGAATTGGTGGTATGCTGTCACTTGAACTGGAACGCTGCTCACATACTCTGGATCGCCACCTGCAGCTCATAGTGCATCCTGGAACCTGTTTGATCCATTTCACTATGGGGTTTAGCACAGGCTATGCTGTGTGAGCTGCATCCTCAGACTCTGCATCACTGGTAATGGCGTTTGAACGGGGTGTTGCTGCTGTTAGTGTTTTTCCTGGCACATACTCTGCAGTGGGGCTGTATCTCATCAGACGCATGAGCAGGCACTAGCACCCCAGGGAACTGTGTCGAGGTGTCTGTTGTTAATCAGAAGAACCAGCGGTTTGTGGTCTGGGTAAACTATGAAGCTGTCTAGACCATATACATTAAGTAAGTGGAGAATACCTCAGAGGCCCAAATGGAAGACATCTCTGTCTTCCTAGTTACGTAGGTAGCTCAACTATTCTTCTTTTTTGCACAGCCAATACTGTCTGTCATTGAGCTTCAAGCCTGCACTCTACTGGATCCCTGCCATGGACGAGGATATCATCCAAAAATCCAAAATGGGAGCCACTTGAAAAACTATCTCCCCATGGGTATGATCAATATGAGGTCAATTTGGCTAATTCACTCTAATTTTCAAAAAGCCACTTGTCACCTCAAGCAGTGAAAGCATGCAGGATCCAGCCAGCCATGGCAGCATGTCATCTGTGGGATCCCAAATTAACCTCCCCCTCCTCACAGCCACATTCAGCCATTTATAGTCACCACAGATCCTCGCCGCTGCTGTTTTCTTAACAACTGGGACCTCCGTTGGTTCCTTGAAGTCCTTGATGATGCTACGCTTCATTTCCAGCTCTGTATCTGCACGGTGTCCATCTAAAAGGTCACTGTAATTGAGTTTTATCAGGCAGATTCCATTAAGTCCACATACAAGAATTCCATGACAGTGAATCTGATGGATATGTACTCTGATGTGATTTCACCTTGAAAAAGTCCAGTACCTTGATAAGCCTCCTGCTGTGACCTGGTTGGTGTGGCACATGACAGGAAAGTGTTTAATCTTTTAAATATTGTGTGTTTCTGGACACACATTGTTTACAATTGCAGAGCTCTACACCTGAAGCTACATGCTTCCTCCTAGCCTAGCTTGTTGCATCTTAACCTGCTCTTACCATCTCCATTGCTCCTCCCAATGTTTAATTATATCTTTATATATTTAACACAATTCCTTGTCTGGAATCACAATGATTGATCTATCATGAGTATTCTCTATTTCATTAAACCTGATCTCCAGGGTTTAGCTTTAATAGCTCAACTGTACATTTGACACAGTTGGTGCCAATCTGGCCTCTGCTCTAATCCAGTGAAGTTTTTGGTTAAAGTTTGTCATAATTCTCATTTACAATGTATGACTGCGGTTACCGACCAATTAATATGGACATTATTCCGTAGTTGAGACATTTTATTTTGACTATGCACCAGATAAACAGCTTGATAGAATGGAAGTCTGGAGTACTAAACCTCATTGCAGCACAGCCAATAGATGTACACAAAAAGTCCCCTGACAGTTCACTCAAGTGACAAACAGTTGGTCAGAATTGATAAGACTTCTTTCCTCTTCTGCAATTTCTGTTCCCCTGAGCTTTTTTCTCTGATCCATGGACTCAAAGTGAGTCACTGGAGGACAAAATGTTATGTCCCGCAACTGAAACACAGATGGCCGCGAGCTTTGCTTGAGCCGTCACTCATTGCTCAGTCACAGGTTAGCATGCCAACCAAGTCAGAGAAGACCGTCACAGTACAACAGTCAGTTTTGGCGAAACCTCCCTGCTGTCTAACTGTTCCGTGTGGTTGATATTCCAAAAGTTGCTGGGATCAGAACGATATGTTCGACATTTCTTGCTGGAACATTTGGTATCAGCTATAGCAGGTGTTTTTACTTTTAGGTTAAGATTGATGCTTCTTACCATGCTGGCAACTGGGTTACGGCAGATGTATGTGTTATATTTAGAGGTGCAGCATACATTTAAGGAGGCATAAAAACATAATCAATTACTTTGCACACGGGTGACAGGGAGGATTGTAGCTACCCAGGTTACAGAAACATTTATCTGACAGAGACACATTTAGCTGCTGCCAGTTGTCAATCAAATAGATGTGAATACTTAATCGTGCATTCTGCAGAAATTGCCTTACATGTAGATATAAGGAGAGCTTGCACATTTCAGCATGCTGTCAAAGAATATAAATGATAGAGAAATGTAGGAGAAAATTTAAGTTGAATTTTGTAACTGTCAAAAAAATGGCAGGTGTTCCATTTCACTGTCCTGTTTAGGGATCACAATATTTATTGTTTAATTTGGAATATCTCATGAGCTATTAGATGGATTGCCACAAAAGTTTGTATAAATGGTCCCAAAAGATGGTTTCAAATGACTTTAACAATCTCCCGACCATCATCAACTTAATATGACAATTCACTTCAACGTTCCACCGGCAAGGTGTCAAATATTTCTGTGCTAATATGGCAAACTGGATTTGCACAAGATCTGATGCAGGCATTGACATCTCCCTCAGGATTCAATTTGACAAATACTGATTCTTGACTTTAATCACACCCCAAACTGCTAATTAGCTAATGTTAGCATGCTATGATGCTAAATAACAATGATGAACATGATAAAATGTGTGACGGCTAAACATCAGCATGTTAGCATTGTCTCTAGGAACCATCAACTCTGTAGTCCATGAGACCATGTTGACGTGCCAATGTTAGCTTTTAGCTAAAAGCATCACCTTGTATATGCTTACAGAGCTGTTAGCATAGTTCATACTTTTAGCCCCAGATCATATTGAGCCACTAGTACATTAATTATGCTTCAGTTTTCCTGAATCTAAAATTTAATTGATAAACAACAATCTTTGGCACACTCCCCCTAAAGATCAAAATAGGCTATTGTCCTCTAATTCTAAGGACACTGACTGGCCTACACTGAGATCTCATAACATAGAGATATGGATTTCCAAATAAAAAATGACAGATACACAATCATAGAAACATCGGTTTACCTCTCAGACTACATGAACATGCCTATAAAGTTAACAACTCCTAACTCCTAACCTGTCTGCAGATACTCTAAGAATTGTAAGGAACAGAACCCAGAAATTGACACGGCTGCTGGAGCTCACAATGAAAAAGTGAAATACACCGCATGATCAAAGCTCAACTCCCTTCCAGGGTTTACAAGGCAAACTGAAGATTGGGAGATCATTATTCCCAGTTTTTATATAATCCAAGAAAACCTGAGCAAAGGAAGCAAGCTGCAGTTTCTTTTCTCCTCTCGTCCGTTTGATGTTTTGCAGAACAAGATATTTATCTGCTAGAGCTAATCAGTTATCAACAGTCGAGGGAGAGAGCTTTATATTTTGGATCACTCTCAGCTCTGCTTTTGTCTTTATCTACTCCGCCAGATCACGACTGTAAATAATACCTCCTTCCACAATTTAAATAAAGATGAATAAGAATCAGCTTGAGGAAGATTTACAAGTAAGTCAGCGGCTTACACTGACAACCTGCCAGCCGTCAACTTTAACTTCAAGTCAAAATTAACTTGAAACTCCTCCTTTCCTATATTCTTGTCATTTGCACAATAGATGTCTGCTCGTTTTGTGACATGGAACATTTTATTCATTTTATGTGCATTGATGATAGAGCCTTGGCCTCAAATTCAGAAGCACAAGGTTTTCATGTTCTGTCTGCCGAGGCAAAATATCACATTAACGCCTCTGTTCTGATTTATACTCCGACAATGACACCACTCAGCTGCTGCCTCCTTGGCCAGAGACAGAAGCAGAGAGACAAATAAAACAAAACATCACTAAAACGTTTGCTCGGACGTGGCCACATGAATACATGGAAATTCGAGCATTCATGATCAGTGAGTTGAATCTGTTTTCAGAATCTGGCTTGTTAATTTGTTGGCCTGACTGGATGTGCTGATAACAAAGCTTATCCTGAAGTCAGTGTGCAAAATATAAGGAATAAGAATAAAATGAATCATTTTTGGTGGTGTCTAATCATCTCTCAGTATTGTCTGTTTTATTTTTAAGTATGCAAATCATTTAAACCTTCTTTTCTTTCACACTTCTTTCCAAATATAATCACTGACTCACATTCACTGGGCTGCTTTTGTTTGGATCAGAAAATATCAGGAGGGAGAAAAAAGCTTGAAAGGTACAAAAAAAACAAACAGACGAGTTTGATGGGTTCAGCATTTGCAGCATCAAAACCAGAAGGTCTGCTGAGAGATTTTAAATTTTCACTTGGAGACTTAATTTGAAAGAAATGCAACGTTTTGGTTCCAGCAAAATGTCAGAAAACATGTTATTCCTCATGAGTATCTGAGGTGGTTATTCTAAGCTGCTCTTCAATCTTATTCTCATGCGTCGTGCTTCTTCTTTGTCTGAGCGCATCATCCACTAAGACCAGCTTTGGGAATTCAAATCAGATCCTTTATTTTAAGCCTCCACCACCACAACCACCATCTGCACCACCTCTGTTGTCTGCCTTGTTCCTATGCACTTGACAGCTCCATGGGTTGGGTGAAGATGGAGCTTTATGGAGACACGTGACAGGGCTTGAAGGGGGCGAAGCTTCATAAGTGTGAAAACACGGAGAAAGAGGCTGGAGAGACTGTGGAGCAGCAGCAGCAGCAGCAGCAGCAGCATCAGACTGGATCCACGGAGCAGGAGCGCGCTCCAAGACCAGGACGCATCTGCAGACATTTGACAAACTTATGTTACAAACAGAATCTGAAATATAGAAACCACTAATTATGAACGCACTGCTTTCATTTTAACACATGTCCGCTTCTTGGCTGTGTTTTTATAAGATCTGTGCTGGTTCCATGATGCGCTTCTGAATTGGATTAACGCGCGGCGATAAAGGGCGATTCTGCGCACTTGGAAAAATTATGTAAGGTAAAGAAGCACTTTTTTCTCCTTAAAATATTTATTCGAGGCTTTTTTATTGTGTATCTATTTGTGTTTTCCATCCTGTGTTGTTGTGTCCCAGCATGAAAGTGTGATTTTTGCTTCTTGTAATAGATTTAGTCTTGTATAACATCTGCACATTGCATCTATATATCTTGTAAAAGCAGCTTTCCAGCACTTAGCCTATCTGTACTGTTAGAGAAAATAAGATCATCTTAATTTCAGCATTCATGTACTGTATGTTCTTTTACATGGAGGAAATTATCCTTTACGTTCCTTTTACAACGATGTTCCAGTTAATACAGGTGTTTTTTTGGGTCTAAACCATTGAATAAAAGAGGCATTTTTATTTTCAACCTCATCTTTCTGTTTTTTAAAATGTTTTTAAAAGCTCAGTGATGAATAATTCCATGTGTTGAAAGGCAGAGGGAGCAGAATAAAGTATTTATGAACACACTGACTCCTGAAGAGCAGATATGGTTCATGTCCTATCCATGAACTCAGTAAAAAAGAACATTGTGCAAATTGTCAATTGTGAATGTTGCATTTCTAAATTTTTTCAAAGGCATTTTACGCTGGAGGTAGATACTTACAGCACATTTGCAAATATACTCTCAGTCATATCTTGAGATCAAATGTGTGGGATTTTATTTCTTTATTTCTCAGCATTTTCAGATTTAAAGGAAGGTCTGAAATTTTTCTCATCAATTTGTAGGTTTTCCACTGCAGCATTACCCTCAGACACAGCCATGAAGTCTGTGCTGGATGGTGTGGCAGACACCACCTTCCGGACTATCACATCTGGTTTACAGTATCTCGGTTCCAACGACGCTAACTACGACAACCCCACCAATGATGTAGACTTCAAGGGCGGCTTCTCTCTGCAGAAGCCCTTATCTGCTTTCCGCAGCAACTCCTTCCCAGACAAAGTACCTGCGGACGAGGAGCTCATCCTCAAGGGCATTCCGTTCTTCCCCACCAATGCCACAGACTTGTTTGGCAACAGGAGCACGTTCAGAGATGAGACTGACACTATACAATGTGGGGAGAACTTTATGGACATGGAGTGTTTCATGATCCTGACTCCCAGTCAGCAGCTGGCTGTGGCTGTGATGTCTCTGACTCTGGGTACCTTCACGGTGCTGGAGAACCTGGTTGTGCTCTGCGTCATCCTGCAGTCCCGCACCCTCCGCTGCCGGCCATCCTACCACTTCATCGGCAGCCTGGCTGTGGCTGACCTGCTGGGCAGTGTCATCTTTGTCTATAGCTTTCTGGACTTCCATGTTTTCCACAGGAAGGACAGCCCCAATGTTTTTCTCTTCAAGTTGGGTGGAGTCACAGCATCGTTCACGGCGTCTGTGGGCAGTCTTTTCCTCACGGCCATTGACCGCTACATCTCCATACACCGGCCTCTCGCCTACAGGCGCATTGTGACACGGACCAAGGCTGTCATAGCCTTCTGTATGATGTGGACTATCTCCATTGTCATCGCAGTGCTACCTCTGCTGGGCTGGAACTGTAAACGTCTCAATTCTGTTTGCTCCGAATTATTCCCTCTTATTGATAAGAACTACCTGATGTTCTGGATCGGTGTGACCAGTGTGCTGGTTCTTTTCATCATCTACGCCTACATGTACATCCTGTGGAAAGCACACCACCATGCTGTGCGCATGCTGAGCCGAACCTCCCAGAAGAGCCTCGTTGTTTACTCAGCAGATGGGACTAAAGTGCAGACCACACGTCCTGAGCAGACACGCATGGATATCCGTCTGGCCAAGACCCTGGTGCTCATCTTGGTGGTGCTGGTCATATGTTGGGGCCCAGTGCTCGCCATCATGGTCTATGACCTCTTCTGGAGCATGGACGATGATATCAAGACAGTATTTGCATTCTGCAGCATGCTCTGCCTGCTCAACTCCACCGTTAACCCAATCATCTACGCCCTGAGGAGCAAGGACCTGCGGCATGCCTTCCTCAGCTCCTGCCACGCCTGCAGGGGCAGTGCACAGCAGTTGGACAATAGCCTGGAGTCAGACTACCAGAACAGAAACGCAAACATTTCTGCCAACAGGGCTGCAGAGAGCTGCGTGAAGACCACTGTGAAAATAGCCAAAGTAACAATGTCTGTGTCAACTGAAACCTCTGCCGAAGCTGTCTAATTGGCCATCACTGGGGAGACTGTGTATATGTCATCATCCCCGAACAATGTCATCCAGCACATTGATGCAGAAGTTAGATATTCCAGAGAAAGACAAAAAGATCCTCTCCTGAAAGTATTGATTTACATCCTCACATAGACGCTTTAGTGGTTGCATTATTATGTTTGTGTGTGAGTACATAGTGTGCCAAAGTGCCAAATGGTATTGCAAGGTCACAGAAAGGACAATTTAAAAGGATTTTCAAAGACTATCCTGAGTCTGCTGTTTACCATAAGACTTCATGATATCCAGTTAGTGGAGGCATATTATATTTTTGTACTGTGAATTCAGGTTTTGAAAACAATACATCTTCATTTATGGGATAAGGGGCTACTGACATTTTTGATTCGAGCTGTTTTACTGTGTCATTTAGACTTTAACACGTGTCTTGCGCCATAAATAAAATAACGACTTGCGCCTTGACTTTCTACAGGCTTGATATATATGTTGCGTAAAAACATTTCTATGAGCAAATGTGAAAAAAAAAGATTGTCATTAACATTTTGTACTCGTTCTGACAACACTCGGTGAGTGGCAAAGAGATTTAGGCTCAATATATGAAAAAATTAAACATATTTACCACCATCACTAAATAAAATCTACTGACAGGAGATGGAAGTAAAATAATTCACAGCTTATGAGTCGTGTGAAATCTCACACGACATTTTCTGTGGCAGAGTGACGATCGTCCCTGTTGTCCATTTCTTTACTCGCTAGATGTTAGACCTTTTGGAGTAACGTGTCTTTGTTCAAATGTATACCTAACGACTGTACAGTGTTTTCTTGCAAGAATAAAAGAGTTCAAATCCACTCGTTCAGCGACACCGCCAACGCAACACCGACAGCAAGCTTTCAGCCAAAACTTGAACACATTCATTCAAACTGAACTCGGACACAGTGTGCTGGACACTGCTGTGACGAACCGAGGTGGTTTCTGCTTTCATCAAATGTAGGATTTTAATGGATTCAGCATTTGTGTGTGTGTGTGTGTGTGTGTGTGTGTGTGTGTGTGTGTGTGTGTGATACCTTGGTGATATATTTCCAAGCCCTGAGCCTTTTGGATCATTGCAGTGAGTTGTTTTAGTGCTACTGTTGCAGCGGGACATGGTTTTGGAAAACAAAAGCAGCCCATGCACAGGCCTAGTGAAGTACTTTTGACGTAACTGAATTTAAAAAAAACATGTCTGCTTTTAAGTTTCTTATCCAAACAAAGACACAAGGGTGTTTTCAGTGGCAGAGTGGAATTCTGGGTGTGCGCACTGTGTGGAGAATCAACAACTGACCTTACAAAAGAACATGTGATTTTTCTTTTCATTTCTAATATGATGATGTATAACGTTTAATCTAAAATCTCACAGCACAATTGTTCTGTAGGCATTTATCTAGGTGTGAAGTTATCCAGACAGCTGTTTATCAGTATGCTTTGCTGCCTCTCGTATTATTGAAGATCAAAATGTCAAAGTGGCTTCTGTACAGTGCTGGCATAATGAGGAATCTATGAAAAAAATAAATCACAATCAGTCGAGTGTTTTTAGTATTGCTGTTATCAAACTTTTGAATAAAGTCACAGCTGGTTGTCATTTCGCTTGCACTCGTTTTGATTGATTGTGTGATGATGGTGGGAAACAGGAGGAAACAGTCCAGCCCTGAGCGACAGCCATACAAAGGCCATAAGTGATGTTTTACTGCCCCCTTGTGAAAGATGTAACACAGTCAGTCACTATTGGCACTCTCTCCACTGAGAGAGGGCCTCTCTGGCTTTGTTGCTGTGATTACTTCATGTAACCTCCAACGTGACAGAGTGGACGTGAATGGCTGCCGCTGCATCCTCTGATAGCAACATCTGCTCGGATCTTTTCATCTCTTGGCTCAGAGGGATCAGGAAATTGCAACATCTGTTCACACAGATGTCAGAAGGATTTTGTCCATTTATCCACCAAATACTCCAGAGTACAGAGAGAGCCGTGAGCCAGGTTTGCTCTGCCGTGTGTGGAAGGCTGCGATTAGAGCTGGAAATCACTCCTGGATAAACAATCTGGGTTGAGATCAGAGCGGAATTGATTAATTGATTGGCGGGCCAAAAGAAAATTAATCAGTAACACATTTTTTGGAGCCATTCAATTTGTTTTTTCAAGCTTAAATGACCAAACATTGCTCTGTTAAAACTCTAGTTTGTGAGCATTTGCTGCTTTTCTTTGTTTTATGTAATGGTAAATGTAAAATCATATTAAACAAGCATTTTGAAGACATCAACCAGGAAATTGTAATTGTAACATTTTCAAGGGCTGACAAAAAACTAAATATGCAGCCGAATCATTTAATATTGAGTTAATGTTGAAGTAGCTGGGACCAAAATGTTTTTTTCTACTGCCTGTAGCACTTACGCCTCTAAGTTTAACATTATCACTAAACTTAAAAATACATACCATTCATATTGTCCAATAGAACTGGTCAACTTTCCAGGTTGACTTTGCCAGCTATGGACACATGCAGGTGAGAGAAAAGGAATCCTGCACACTATACTTGCAAAAATACTTTATGTAGTGTACTCCTTTTCGGTCACGTGGACCTTCATCAGGTAAAACCATTCCTACATCATTCCTCTTCTCTCACCTGCTTGTGCCTTTTTCTCCTACGCACCTGTTCACTATCTTTGTGTAAATTGGCCTTTTCAGAAAACAAAAATACAGTTTATCAAAGCATTATGCCATCATGGATAGAATGGTTTTTGTTATAATTGCTTTAGAACAAGCGCTCACTAGTAACTCTACCCATTCTTCAGATTTGCAGTTTGCGGTGATCGAGGAATAACTGCTGATTTAAGGTAAATGTCTCACTCATGACTTTAAGCACAACAAAAACCATGGGAACCATATTCACGAATTTCCAGGAGTTGTTGTTCCTAGATTCTGATGATAAATTACATTACTGCTTAGAAATAATACTAAAATTATTAAATACAAAAATATAAATTCTAAAGTAAATTGATTTGAAACTGATCACAGGCTAAATTGGGACAGTAATTCAATATTTGATGATAGCAACAAACTTTACAGCACGTGTTCATGCTCATCTAAACTGTGCTCTGGTCAGAAAACATGTTGTAAATACAACATGTGTATGTTTTAATGTAATCATGAAACGGAAACTTCTCCTGTTCTCATGTTGAAGTTTGATGTGAAATTGAAACTTGTTCGTGATTTGGAAGGTTTTTCAAAACAAAACAATTTTGAAAAAAAGGACGTGTTCGGGGTTGTCGGGAAATGTAGTATTCAAGCTTATGAAAAGAACGGACCCCAACGGGGGTAAAAACTACACGTACCGGCATGCCAAGTTTTCTTGCGCATGCTCACTGTAGGCAGATTTAGAACGGGATGAAGACGGAGCCTCAGTTGTAGCGTTTGGTTTGTTGAGGTAGTGAAGTTAAATCTGCGATCATCTGAGCAAACACACCATCGAACCTGAGTATCTTCATCCAGTTTGAGCTCAGAGTTATTCAGCAACTTAAATCCGGAGACATCGATCAGCTCAAGAGAAGAAGAGACGGATAAAAGTGTTTTTGTCGACACCCCGGAACCGCTGCTAGCTAACGACAGCTAGCATTAGCGAGCACAGACCGTGGCCCTGGTGGTGAAGTCACCAGACAACAGAGGAGTTCAGCCTTTTGTCTCTTAGGTTTTTTTTTTCCCTCTCTTGTGTTTCGTTGTAATGGCGTGCGGAGCGACGCTGAAAAGGAGCCTGGACTTTGACCCGCTCATGAGCCCGGCGTCCCCCAAGAGGAGGCGATGCGCCGCGGTCATGTCTCCGGTGTCCTCGCCGCAGAAGTACCTCCGGATGGAGCCCTCACCGTTCGGGGAAGTGTCGTCCAGACTCACCACAGGTAGAAGATCCACCTTTAAATAAACACGTCAGCTCAAAGATCCGATCCACCACATTTAAACAATGGTTAAACCTTTACTCGGTTTACTAGCATCGTAGTGTTAGCACGTCTGTGTCGTGTGGATCGCAAACCAAACTCCATTCTCCAAATTCTTAAAGTTAGATAATTGCTGTTGATGTTTTGTCTTTGATTATATCCGCGTTATAGACCATGTGATGTAAATCTGTATAACTCTGTTGTGAATTCGGCATTTACTGTAGCACTATTTATGAATAGGGACTGGACAATATACTGAAAATGATCCAGTTTAAAGATAACAAATCATATCAGCGTGTATAGACGATAATTCAGTTTAACGACGGTTGTGGTCAAGGTTGTGGTTTAAACTCTTTAGTGTGTCCATGTTGTTTATGGCCCAGTTCTGTTCTGAACTGCTTTGACTCTCAATACTAGTGTATTCCAAGCTTATTGTGGAAATCATATTCAACCTGTAGAAACTCTTCTCTGGTTTGAAAGTCATGAGTGGATCTTGCAGAGTTTGACCCTCACTGAATGGGACGAATGTTTCTGACTGCATCTATTATACAAGTTGTGATTTGTGCCATGTCTCTGTATGTGTAGCATCCTTGGTGTCACCTAATATAAAAGAGTGAATGCATTTCTTTGTTTCAGAGCAAATTCTACACAACATCAAACAAGAGTACAAGCGGCTGCAGAAGCGGCGACACCTCGACAGTGCTTTCCAGCAGCAGGTGGAGGGCTGCTGTCCTCTGGACGTGCAGAACATTCACAGTGGATCTGCACTACCAGGTAGTCCCATCTTGATAAGAATAGCAGCTATTTTTACAGATCAATATCCTATTTGTGTTTACAATTCAGGGTAATGTAAACAGTTATCCACCATTATGTAAAATAGTGATTCATAATCACAAACTTCAAGAATGTAGTTTATGTACCCGGTTATTTCACATATGAGCTCAATTAAATTTCCAAATGTTTTTACACCAAGTAACAACTGACATCCGTCCATTCTTACTCAAGAAAGTTTAGGTGTTTTCTTTCCTTTCTCTTTTAATCCTTTGAATTAACTGTGACCATGGGGATTTCCAGAGCTTTAGCCAGCCCCCCCACACAGGAAGAGTAATGGACACAAACACTTGCTGCTCCTCATTGATTTCACTTTCTTTTATGTGATTTTTCTTTTCTTTTTTTATCAGTCCCACTTTCTATATAAAACAAATGTGGCTGAAGCTCTTAACAGGAGTGTTGATAGATTCAGATATTTGCCGGTAATTCTCCACAGTATAGAGTTTAGAGTTGTGCTTAATGTAAAAACTTTTTATGAGACTGCCAAAAGTTGCTGTGCTGTTGTATGGTTTTGAATAATCGACTGTTGGATATTGATTCTCCTGGCAGGTACGTCCTCAGGTGCCTCCTCTCCCACCAGGAAAGAGCAGCCTTTGTTTTCCCTCAGACAGGTTGGAATGATCTGTGAGAGACTACTGAAAGAGCGAGAGGACAAAATCCGCGAGGAGTTTGACGAGTTACTTACGACAAAGCTCGCCGGTATGCTTCACTTTTTTAAACGGGTTACAGAAAAATATTTGCATTGCTTATCCACAATTAATGCCAATCAATTTTTTTTACCTCCAATAGAGCAATATGATGCCTTCGTTAAATTCACACACGACCAACTGATGAGAAGATTCGGAGAACAGCCTGCAAGCTGTGAGTACATTTACTGTTCTCAAACACTTGTGTGCAGTCACTTTAAGGACCAGCAGTATCCCCTCTACTGTGGTGGATCCTCGTGATCCCAAAATGATTGAATCCACTTGCGTACATGTTTGTATCTATACGGCTGATCCTTCGAGTGAAGCCAATCCCAGCTGACCTTAGATGAGAGGTGAGGAATAGGTTAGCCCTCTTGGCTGACACATACGTGGGATTGAAATGAACAGGTTGCAATGTAACCTAACCTGTGTGTCTTTGGCCTGAGTGAGGACACTGCTGTACACAGAGGAAACATGTACAGGCACAAGGAAAACAATCCTGCAACTCATTTTTGTCAAACACTACTTTTGATTAATACAAGTGCTCCAGTGAGAGTACTCTCTTTTGCTTGTGTGCCCTGTGTACACAAGTCAAGTCAGATTAATTTTTATAGCACATTAGAGAGCAGGAGTTTTAATATTACATTACACACAATTTGTTTGAATATAGTCTAGGACCCATAAGATACTCCTGAGATCTGGTTAAGGACTGACTGTGCTTTTACTGAGATTAAATATTGCAGAGGGCCAGCCCTCATTTCTGTAACAGTCACAGCGACATGTTTTTGAACCACTTACTCTTTGTGTCACTGATATTAATCTCTTTCTATTCCTTATTCTCCTCCACAGATGTATCCTGAGTGTCAGCCTCGGACATCGGGGAAAACATTTTGCTGCAAGCTATTCCAGGGACTGAGTGGGTCTAGTTGGACTTTTCTCCTACCTGTGCCATATCGCCTCAGTGGACTCACTGCCTCAGGCATCAGTCAGTGGCCTCCACGTTTGCTGTGTCTACCAGAGTTAGGAGGAAGGGCTTCCTGCTGACAACATGTCCAGACTTTCTGTCACTCTACCAGTGGCCTCTTAACTGCCGGGTCAATATTTATTTGGCTGTGTTCTGATGCCTTCATAAAAGGCTGACTGCCAC